GATGAAAATTCTTCATTTCTAACATAAAAAACAACCAACATCTTTATTTATTTGTTTGAGAAATAAAGATGAAACAACCAGGAAAATTAGTTCACTGCTTCCAAGCTGCTGGTGGCTACATATCCTTCAGGGATTTTGAATGTTGAGAATGGAGGTTCCTTCTAGCTTTTCTTAACCCACCTATCAAAAGAATATATATCTCTAGTAATTTTTATAATTCTTCTGTCATGAATATTTAATTCAAATATCATAATAATTTTATTATAAAGTTAGTTTTTTAAAAATTATAAATTCCTTAATACAATGAAAGAGAAAGATATGTCATATCCATTCCACCAAAAACATGGAGTCATTATTCTCATAGCCACATAAAACATAACCCATTTTGTTGACATATCTTCTTGTGAACTTTATAATTTATAAACATACTTTTCCTAAAGATAATTTGATTATATATGTTAAATAAAATACATTTGCTTGTTTATAAATGTCAAATAAAAAACATATTAGCAAATATATATTTCCTTGGCTTTCTTTTTCTAAATGGAATAAGAATGGTTAACTTTACAATGAAAAAATAATGTCATCTAAGTTAAATATTTTTGTTATTTTTCAAAAGAAGGTTCATATAATGGACCGAAAGTTTGGGTTTGAACCCGACCCGATGTCGCAAACCGACCCGGATAAATTATAGAGAATCCGAAAAGGAATAAAAAAAAAAAAAAAGTAAAAGGGGGTTAAAAATAAAGGGGGCAACCGAAGAGAAAAAGAGGAGTCTAGTTTATACGTACGTACAATCTAATCCAATAAAATCATCGTTATCGTTTTCATTGTCATAGCAATTATAATAATGAAAACACAAGATTATCATGAATTCTCTGCTATGATATTCTGATCATCGTCCCGCGAAAATCGATTTGTGTAGCAGGCAAAGAGAAGAGGAGAAACGAATTGGAAGGGAAAGAGGAAAGAAAAGAAGATGTACGTTCAGGCGGTACCAACGACGGATGTGAACAGGAACACGGAGTGGTTCACGTATCCAGGCGTGTGGACCACCTACATCCTCATTCTCTTCTTCTCGTGGCTTATTGTCCTTTGCATCTTTGGTTGCTCCCCTGGCATGGCCTGGACCATCGTTCACCTCTCCCATTTTATTGTAATACCCCTCGCTCTCTCTCTCTCTCTCTCTCTCTCAATAGACGTCCATTCTTTTGCTATTTGCTTTTTTCTCCCTCTCTTTCCTTTACTGTGTGTTTTGCGTTTGTTAATTGTTCGATTCGGTATGTTTGATGTCTATTGATCTATTTTATTTGTATTTTATTAGCTCGATTAATGTTGGATTCTGGTCTTTTCTTTTTCCTTTCGTGGAAATTGAGATTTCGTTTCATTACAATGTCCTCAAATTTTGTGCACAAATCGTTGCTGTTATTTAGGGCTTGAAAGTGGTTTAGAGATGCCTACGGAGAGAGTCGATAATTTTTTTATTCCTCATATGACATTCTGATTTGCTGTTTCATCCTTCCATTATTTGTGTTCTGTTCTCGTTAAATTTCGTCCGTTATGCTATTTCTTTTGGCACTCGTTTCTCATGCGCTTATGCACTAGCCAACATTACTTTATTTATTATATTTTTAGGACAAAACCAGGATAAGATTTGAACTATTGTATGTGATTTTAAGAACGTATCCACCTTTGAAAAATTCTATCATACTCTTTTTGTACTCATTTAGACTCAACTTTTTATCTTCTACTTACCTATAGGAGGAAGGGACAATAAACACTACGTGTTTTGAACAAATGAGTTCCAGAGAGAAAAGTAGGAATTTATTTGCGAACTATATTTTTAGAAATTTGACGCAGAAGTGAATCTAAAATGAATTCTGCACTTATTCTTTTACAGAATTCATTCAATTTTAAAACA